GAGATCACCCAGGAAAGCCCTGGGACGGGCCCGAGACCGCCAGTGATCCCCAGGAAGAGGCTACGCGAGGCAGGAGGGGAATTCTTCTGGAGTGGGCCAGGGGGATGCGAGGGGGCAAGAGGGGGGCTAGAAGAGTGCACACGCTGAACCACCTAGGCCCGGAGGACTGGTGGGAGTTGGAACCGCGCGGCGTTCAAGGAGGGAAGGTGCGCCCAGCGCCGATCCAAGAAAGTCCGCGTGGACCTGTGAACGTTTATGTTTGTGCAGTTTTGTTCTTTCTATCACCAGCCCTCTCTGAAGCAAGCAGCGGAGGCGCAACACGCTTGGTCTCGCGGATCTGGGCATGCTTGGTAAGCCAGTGCTTTTTCAGATGATTGCGCGCGAAACGCGCACTGCGAAACTCGCACGCTGCGAGTTTGTCGAAATCCCACGTGTCCGTGCAGGGCATTTGGGGCGATCGCTAATCCTCCCGTGAAGGACGGGACGCTCGTCATCCCAAGGGGTTTGAGCCCTCGTGAGGGTGCGGTGGGAGCCGAAACTCTGGCCACTGAGCGACATTGGTGCAAGGCGAGGCGGCTGATAGGTTAACATGGAGGCCACGGGGAAAGTGCGATGCCACATCGCAGGTTGAGCCCCAACGCCTCCCAGACTGCGGCCAGGCTCGGGGCCCAAGCTTCGGGGAGCAGGGACCCCTCTGGGGCAGGCGGAGCGGGAGCGACAGCCATCATGATATTAGACAGTATGAAGCCAGAAGACAGCAATCAGGCTGAACCCGAAAAAGTAATCGAGCCGTTCGAGGTTATCGAAGACGCCTAGGGCGAACCACCGCCGCCCCCCGCTCCTTTGGAAACGCCTATGTTGCCGAACGTTGTGGCCAGAGCTCGGCCAAACTATCAGGCCATGTGCTCTTCCAGCCGTTGTGGAAAGCCTTCGGGGAACAGATGGAGGAGAAAGAGCACAGGAGAAGAGGGAGAAGCATGGAGGAGGAGAAGAAGGAGGAGGAGAAGGAGGAGGAGGAGGAGAAGTCCTCTTGGGAACCTCTTGGGGCACTCTTGGAACCTCCTGAGAGCTTCCTGGAGGCTTCTTGGCGACCTCTTTGGGGCCTCCTTGGGCCTCTTGGGGGTCTTTGGGGGTTTCTTGGGGTCCTCGTTGGCCGTCTTAGGGCGTTCCTAGCCCATCGGACGCCGTCAGAAACAGTCTCGGGGGCCTCTCCAAACCGACTAGGGGCCTTGGGGCGCTTCAGGGCAGTCTTGGAGGCCATCTTGACAGTCTTAGAATCCTCTTGGGTCGTCTTGAGGCCCTCTTGGTGCCGTCTTGGGAGCTTCTTGGGCCTTCGGGGGGCCATCTTCGAGGTCTTTGGGGCGCTATTGGGGCGATCTTTGGGGCCTCTTGGGCCGTTTCGAACCGTCTGAAGGCCCAAAATAGGCAAATGCCAACAAATGTTTCAAGCACTTCAGCAAAATCAATGATATTGGCCTCTTCGGGTCTTCGGGGGGACCTCTTGGAGGCCTCTTGGGCCATCCTGGAAGCCTCTTGGGGGCGTCTTCGGCCGTCTTTGGGCCGTCCAGAGGCCATCTCGGGCTGTCTGGAGTGTATCTTTGGCGTCTTGGATACATCTGGCCGCAATCTTGGGTTTTCTTTGGGCCATCTTGGCCGTCTTGGAGATGCTCAAGGACTAGTCACTCGAGCGTCCAATGGTTCAGCTTGGAACATACATGAGAACAGGGCTGTCACATCAGGTCCAGCATGGCGGAAGCAGAGGGCGGTGCACCGCCGGCATCTTCGCCTTTGCTTTCTGCATTTGCACGCACCCCTTCACCATCTCGGCCGTCTTGGATCGGGGCTGGACAGAACCCCCAACAGTGACACGTCGATTAGTGGATTGTCCGTTTTCGGTTCTCGAGAGGGCGCCGTGGCCGTCATTCTCCAGGCTTGCGCCCGCCAGATCTGGGCCCCAGGTCGTCTTCGCTAAACCACGTCTTGCTAAAGGGGGGTCTGTCCATCCCCGACGGGGACCGCCAGATTCGCTTAACTGGAGCACAACTTATACGACAGACAAGCGCACGAGTTTGTTCCCAGAGATCTGATTTTTTTTTTTCGCACGGGCCGGCTTTTCACTAAACCACGTTTTGCTAAAGGGGGGTCTGTCCATCCCCGATTGGAGGAGGCCCTCCTGGGGGCCGCTCGGCAGGGGCACGCCGACGGACTGCACGTGTGCCTGGCCCCTGCGGGCAACCGACGGGCTGGGCCGGGGGCCCCGCGAGGCGCTCTCGAGGGAGCACCGAGCACGTGCCAGACGTTCGGCACGCCGTGCACCCCTGTGACGAATCGCCAGTCGGGGGTGGACAGAACCCCCAACAGTCACACGTCGATTAGTGAATTGTCCGTTTTCGGTTCTCGAGAGGGCGCTGTGGCCGTCATTTTCCAGGCTTGCGCCCGCCAGGTTTGGGCCTCAGGTCGTTTTCGCTAAACCACGTTTTACTAAAGGGGGGTCTGTCCATCCCCGAACCAGGGGACGGCGGGTCTATCGAGGTCATCGGTCCAGGCCTCCTGGAGGGGGTCCGAGCAGATGGGGTCGGAGGATCGCGCCGCACCGCCGATGCATCGCCGATATGCGGCTCGATGTGAAGCCCGATTTGCTGCACGTCGATGCCGCCGATGCATCGCCGACGTCGACGATGCATCGCTGCTGCATCGCCGATGCATCACCGATGCATCGACGATGTAACGGCGATGCGGCGCGATCCTTCGACCCCATCTACTCCGACCCCATCTAGGAGGCCTCTAATCGAACGGCCTTCGGACCTTCACGCCACCGTTCCTTGGTTGTGGGTCAGAGGTCTCTAGGATGCTCGGCGGGATGTCGCGGCGTACCTCTCGGGGGCCTTTTGGGGGCCGCTTCGAAGCCTCTTTGGGTCCGTTTTGGAACGTTTTGGGACCTCTTGGGAGCGTATTGAGGCCTCTTGAAGGCCTCTTGAGGGCCTCTTGGGGCCTCCTTGGGGACTCCTGGGAGCCCCTTGGAACGGAAGTCTGGGATTTTCGGTTCGTGTTCGCCTTCTTGGGCCCTTCTTGGGGCTGTCTTTGGGGTTTCTTGGGCCGTCCTGGGCGCCTCTGGGGCTGTTTTGGAGCCCTCTTGGGCCGCCTGGGGGCTCTTTTGGCTGCCTCTTGGGGCGGTCTTGGGTGCCTCTTGGGCCGTCTTGGAGCGTCGGAAGCTCGGAAAGGCGTGCATTCCAAAGGCGCCGATGGACAACGTATGATTTGGCCTCTCGGGGCCCTCTTTGGAAGGCTCTTGGGGCTCCCTTGGAGGGTCTCGAATGCTTCTTGGCCCGTCATGGCGCCATTTTGGGCGTCTTGGATTGATGGTTCGGCGATTCTCCTCCTCTTGGACCGTCTTGAGAAGACTCCTGCGGCCCTCTAGGCCCGTCTTCGAGCTTTCTTTGCTTTTCTGGCTCTAGAAAAGTCACGCGAGAAGCCGCCTCAAATCCCGGAATGTTGGCAATTTCGAATTTGGATGTTTTTTTTGATAATCTTCGGGGTTAGGGATTGAGGCTACTTGGGATCGAACAAGGGACCTGAGGACACTCCAGGTCGTACCTCAAGGGCACGGTGGCGGATGGTAAAAGTGTGTGTTCAAAACGTGTGTTGGCGCTCCGACTCTCCATCCTGGGGTACAAAAGTCGTAGCTGTTTTCTTGTCAGCCTCGAAGCATATGGCAGACGAAGGCATACTAGTTTTCAAACCCTTGACTTTGATCCGCAAAGCTTGTCGAGAATACAGCTTCGAGTGTTATTGCCAACGTCAAATTAAGATTACAATTGAGACCCCACCCGAACGCGGCCGCGCAGCTTTCCCACATGCTTCAACAGCAGTTCCAGAATGCGAAGAAATCCTTTTTCCATGGGGTTAATAGTGGACGCTTCGCTCACCAGCCCATCCAGTCACGATGTCCAGGCGAATTGCCCAGGAGGGTAATTAGACGTCACATCGAAGCTCGTGATCAGCCTGAGCAGGCCCAGGAGTCAACCAGAGATACCTTCGCGTATCTTTCGAGATGGGAGCCTCTTGGGAGCATTGGGAGCCCATTTGCGCTATCTTGGTGCTCTCTTGGGGCTACCCTGGATGCCTTCAGGGCCCTCTTGGAGCCCTCTTGGGCCCTCTTGATGCCCCTCTGTTGGCCTCTCGGGCCGACAGAGGGGCGAGTAAGACCCTGCGGTCTGACTTGCATGCGAGTTTGCCTTCGATAGCCTTGCCGCCCTCCGCCCCCCCCTCGCTACAACCCTCAGGAGGGGAAAAAGCACAGACACAATTCATCGTCGACTCCCAGGAGAATATGGGAAAATATGGGAAGTGGTGGGGAAGACAAAAACCCAGAAAATACGAGAAAATATGGGGAATCTTTTTATTTGTGTGTATTTATTTGTGTATCCTGGGGCCCCTTCAAACCCTCCCTCTTCTGTTTCCGCGTCCTTGCCCCCGCGCGCACCGATCGCACTGACATAATCAAGGCCAGTCAGATCCCGAACGCGTGCTGTGAGGCAGAGGCTTCCGCCGAGGTCGGGGTCCGTCCACACAGGCACTGGCATCGCCCGTGGTCCCTGCTCCCGCCTCCCCTCGCTGCGCCGAGCCGTCGGCAGCAGGACCGCGCGTGAGCGCCTTCCGCTCGTTTTGTGTGGGGCGCGCCGGTCCCGATTTCAGCCTGCGCCAGCATTGGATCTTCTGTCGTGTGAGGGAGGGTGGGGGGGGCGATGAGCTGGGCCCGCTGACTGGTTCGATCTGGCTGATGTGACTCGTGGTTCCACTTCGCCTCCTCCTCCTCCTCGTCGACGACGGAGCGTCGGCCTGGTGCCCCGACCAGAGCAAGAGAACCAAGGCGGGCGGCGACCGAGACGCGGTCGATCAGAGCAGGCACGCGTGCATGCAAAAGGGTCCGGGAGCACCGCCGCAGCACGTGAGCATCGCCCCCCCGCCGCGCGCACGGCGCCCCCTCGCGCGCCCCCCAGGAGATCATGATCGACGTGCCCCTGGCGCTCACCTGCATGGCCAGCGGCTTCGCGTGGCCCGTGTACGCGTGGCAGGAGCCGGGGGGCGACAACCGGGGCTTCCATCCTCCTCTCCCGCTTCCTCTTGCTCTTCTCCCTCCTCCTGCACTCCTTTCCTCCTGCCTTCATCCCGTCCTCCCTCCTTCCCTCCCTCCCTCCCTCCCTCCTTCCGCCCTCCCCTCTCTCCTCCTGATTTTCTTCTGCTCAAAAGGGCCCGTGCCCACGGCCTGGGCTGGGAGAGGGGGGTGCGGGGGACGCCGCGCCGCCGCCGCCGCCGCCGCCGCCGCTGCCGTCGTCGTCGTCGTCGTCGTCGTCGTCGTCGTCGTCGTCGTCGTCGTCGTCGTCGTCGTCGTCGTCGTCGTCGTCGTCGTCGTCGTCGTCGTCGTCGTCGTCGTCGTCGTCGTCGTCCGCCGCCGCCGCCGCCGCCGCCGCCGCCGCCGCCGCCGCCGCCGCCGCCGCCGCCGCCGCCGCCCCCCCACAAAGGAGATCGTCAACGGAGAGATGGTCGCCAAGGACGTGCCCGCCCCCCCCCTCCAGGGCGGCTCGTGGGTGCTCCTACGCCCGCCGCCCTCCGCCCCCGGCCTCCTGCAGGGGCCTCGAGAGTCGCAGGCGCATTCTCTCTCCCAACCCCCGGGCTCCGTCAGAAAATCCTGGCCGTTCAGAGAAAGGGGGGAACCCTGGGCTCTAGCTCAACGGGGCTATTCTCACCGAGCGCGTTCCCCTACTCGCAAAGTGACAACTCTCAGGAGGTAAAGAATCGCACAGACACAATGGATCGTCGACTCCCAGGAAAATATGGGAAAATATGGGAGGGGGGGGGAAGACGAAAACCCAGAAAATGTGGGAAACTATGGGGAATCCTGTTATTTGTATTGATTTATTTGTGTGTCCCAGGGCCCCTTCATACTCGCAAACGTCCCAAAGCATGTCTTCCTCCATGGAATGGATCGTCAATCCCCAGCGGCGGATCCAGGCCATTTGCGAGTTGTTACTTTGCGAGTAGTGGAACGCGCTTGCCTATATTCAGTTGCACGCCCGTCGAGGATGACCCTCCCGCACTGTGCATCCTCGGTATCGTTTAACCAATCCCCGTCCCCATCCCCATCCCCGCCGAGACCCCCACCAAAGCACCACCCCAGTTGGGGATGCGCCCTTCGAAGCCCGAAGGGCGCGACCTAGATCCCCGTCTAGGGGGGCCAACGGGTCAGTGGGGCCGAGGCCACGCCGCTGGGGACGGGGATCGGTTAAACGATACTCACCTGGCTCATGGCGTCTCCAGGATTTCTCAGGGGGGAAAACCGTGGACACCCCGTGCCAGGGGCATCCTTGGCAACCCCCAGTCCTCCCTCCCTTCCGCGAATGAAGATCGTCACACGTTTTTTTTTGGGGGGGGGTTTTGCTTACGGAATTGTGAGTATGTGTGTGTATACACCTCAGGCGATGCTTAAGAAAACCCAAGTTTTCGGCCAGAGCCTCGATTATTCTTGATGTTTCAACGTGAATCCTAAGATCTGAATGGACCTTCTGGGTTTTTATGTAAATTCTGAGACTTTCAATTTCTTAACCCATGATTTCTAAAGCATTTCGTAGGGTGTATATTCACGAATCTATTGACTGCCAAAAAAAGTTAAACGATACTGATATCCCAGGGCTGGGCCTGCAGTTTTTGGTCCAGCCGAAGACCTCCCAAAAGGCCTGGGATGCGGGTCGACAGGTCCCCTCCCCAGAGAGGCTCGGTACGCCGCCTCCCTGAGCTCTCCTCCCCAGGCACTTCTGTGAACCATTGCCTACACACTCTTCATGTCTAATTCTTCGAAAGTTCTTCGATTTTTTTGGGGGCCAGGATCCTTTTCACTTCTAATTGTTCCCAACCATCCTGTGGTGTTGGGTCCTCGTTTTGAAGAGAC